TCTCTAGGCAAGCGGACACAGGGGCCCTGAGGGAAAACCCACGGGAGCAGCAGGATCAGCTGGACCCGTATTCAGGCCACAAGTGGAGGCCGCCTGTCAGACCTCTGCACGCGCGCGAGCCTGTGGTTCCGCCTCACGAGAGCCGCGGGAGGTCCGGGACGTTGCCCAGCGACTATCGGTACTCCCAGGAGAACGTGAACGAGAGGAGCAAGGACCGCAGCCTGCCTCAGCTGCCCTGCTCAGAGACCTTCGAGGAGAACCGCTCCTGCCTGGCCAGTGGCATAGAGCCAGCGCCGCCGAACAAGAAGCGTGGACCTGCTCCTCAGAGGCCACCACCGCCTAAAAGAGATAAGTACCGGCGACCGGACAATTGTGCGCCCTTGCTCCGCACCTCTGCTGAATCTCTGCTGGCAGCACCCGGCCGGCCCTTTCCGTCCTCATCCCCCAGCTCCGCTGAAGTGTTGGCCAGTCACTCCTCTCTCTGTCAGAGTCCTGCAGCTTTCAATGGAAAACTGAAGAGTGCTAACCTACAGCAGCTCCAGCAAGTGTCATCCACGGAGAATGTTTGTCAGCACTTAGAAGAAAAAACGCACCTTAGGTCTGAGTCTGTATTGTCTTCCAAGCATCGGTATCTTCAAAAACCTGGCATGGAGACATCAAGGTCCCCTTCTCCTCAGTTTGCACCACAGAAGCTCACTGATAAACCTCCTGTGTCCTTACAGGATGAGAACCCAGCCAGGTACTAGGTGTAACTGCTCTTCTATTTTATTAACACTCCTTTTTGATGAATGTTTGTTTACTGAAAGCACATTGTACATGTTCATTAAGCGTAAGCCATTGCAGCGTGTCCTAGAGAGACCTAAGACTTGTGTGAAATTCCAGTTGGTACCATTAAAGTCCTTCAAGTGCTCTGTGCTTTCTTTTAATTGACTGATGCTGCTCAGGTGTTACAGCTGGTAGTTAGTAGGAAATGAAAGGGTTGGATTCAAATAGATTTTCCACCATAAGTGTGGGTGAAATCAGAAGATTCTCTGTTGTCATTTCCCCTGCTCAAGTCTGTATATCAATATGAATTGGTGTAGGGACAAAGCAGATGTGGGAAGGGAGGCTGTATCTTTTGTGAGAACATCTGTTTTGAAAGTGCACACAACAAGGTACACTGCCAAATCATGACTGTTGTCACGTTGCTTTTATGATGAAACGTGGTGCTCCAGGTAGTCTGCAGAGGGGTCTGCAACAGTGTTTGTCTTGGGCTGGGATGAAGATTGAGCAGGAAAGTGTCAGTCCTAGATAAACTCAGAATTAGACAAGCAACTGAAATTAATTGATTGCTGTGTCTGTCATAGGCTGCTAACATCATAAAAGGTTATCTCCCACAAGAAAACAAACTCTTCCAGGAAGCTCAGGAATCTTAGTTTTCATAAATCCTTCAGCACTGTAATTCCTGGTTAAAGAATGAAAACAAATCCTCCAAGCCAAATGAATGTAGAGGTGGCTTCTCTGAGCAAAAATATTTTGGAATAGCCTTTCTTTTCTGTAATGGAAACGGTTGAATAGACTCAATCATGCTGTTTTCCAGTGTGCCTTATGATATAGCAAACAGGAATTGCTGTTTTTCCTAGACATGCTTTGATGGTTTCCACTTATAACCAGCAGAAAAAAATGACATTTCATCCTGCCGTGTTTTTAACATGAAGTAATAACACAGTTTACTATGGAAAGTGCAACGTGTCACGTGAACCCTAGTGTCTGTGTACCAAGGCAGATGACAGTCATGACTTCCTTCATGTATTGCTCTATGAGTAGATATTAGGGATGCATAGAAAACTAATTGTATTTGTCCTTCCTTTTTACCAAGCTTTAGTGTTTAACTGAGCAGTGAGGCGTGCCTCTGATTACTTGCCCATATCTGAATGATAACACACCCTGGAAAGTTTTTGTTAACATTCAAAATTCTTAATCATGGACAGCTCTTACTTGTGCACAATGTGCTATCCTCAGTTAATTTGACATTACTCAATAGAACAGCTATGGCAAGAAAGGAAAGACATGGGTTATACCTCTGCTCCTTCTGTATGGTATGTTCTATGTGATAGTTACTTCATATAAGTAAAATAGGTCAAATAGCCTTATCTTAATATGCAGTTAATTAGATTTGGCTTATTACTTCAGTTGGCTCCTTGTATATGTGCTTTTGGACATGCCAGTTTGCATGCCATGGGTGGTTATAATGGTGTCAGCACATAGCTGCTTACTTTTCTTTAAGAAAGGTGTCTTCCTGAGCAACAGGATAAACTGAGTGAGCGTGCAGGGTCTCCCACAGCATTTTAGGCAGAACTTTGTAGTGTGGGGAAATACTGATGCTATGCAGAACCCAGCTATTTCCAAAGAAGACTGTTCAGCAATAGTACAGATTTAAAAAGTGCATCAGTAGGTCTCCAATAAACATACACTGAGGTCAAGGAGTGACTGGGCTCGTGGTCGGAGTAAAGCTTCATAATGGCCACAGAGTTGCTCCAAATCAAAGTTCCATGCCACAGTTCCACAAATGGAAAGCCTTCAGAAATCAAGAGGACAGGAGCTGCAGAAACTGAATTGCTGAAGCACCTGATGTTGAACTGTCTGGCTGAAACCAGTTGACTTGATGATGCCTTAAGTATCTGGAAAATCTTACTAGCCCGAGAGGAATGTACTTACTGTCGCAAAACAGATGCTGGGCATTTTAGGTAAGGGATTGCAGTCAGCTCACTTCTTCCAGTTGTCCCCCACACGCTTAGGCGTGCATCTGGTATTTTCCCCAAATTGAAAAATGTGTTGTTCTTCACAGTCTGGTGAAGTCCAAAAGGTGTGGGCTTTATTTAAAAACAAACAAAAGATAGGGTTGGGGCAGTGGCAGGCCTCTGCCCAGCTCCACGGCAGCCAGGAGAGAGCTCAGGTCTGCAGGCAGGGAGCTGGGGCTCAGCAGCAGCCACAGGAACAAGCCCTTCAAAATGACAGTCACCTTGAATGAAAACACCCTGACTGAATGGGAGTCGGGGAGGCTCAGCATGGGCTGGAAGACCTGCCCCAGAAGTTGGATTGGTATGCCAAGGCATGTCTGCAGAGCCCTTGAGGGAAGCAAATACCTTCTGGGAGGCTCAGCATACATTCAGAAGCAAATACACCTTTAAAATATAAAATACAACTTCCAGAAAATGTGAAGTCAAACAGATTTTGCTATTCCTTATGAAAGAAAAGCACAGCACAATAAAGTAGAAGTTTATTTTTAAGGAAAGTGACACACCCACACTTAGAGGAAAAGAGCTGTAGTATGTCCTGCTCATTTATCCGAAAGGCAGCAAGCTACCCAGCCAGATGAAACCAGATATTTTAGCTAGTAGGCAATGTTCCTTTACTTGCTGTAGGGCTTCCAAACCCACATTATGACAATAATTTTAAACTTTCTGCAAACTCAAAACCACTGAACTAGACTTCAGTTTCATATATGGTTTACATAGAGTGCAGATGTTTCAGTAATGTTATTTAACATGTTATTGTCCAATATAAAAATAAAAGTTAGCCTCCTCTTTAAATAGTTTGCTTTACTGAATGTCCAAGGTGGCCCTTCGCGCTATGCAGTACAGAAATTTTGCTATAAGCTTCCCTTAAAAGGAATGTCTAGAATTGTGCGTTACCCTCTTCAGTGGCTGGTTTTTCTTCTTGAAGTGTAGGGCTTAAAGCTCTGCTGGGATCTATGTATTAAACTTCTATATTGTGTGAAATTTTACCAATACGGCTGATTTTTTTAAAGTCATGTAATTAAGTTTTGAATAATTTCCAGGTTTTCCATGTGTCATTATTTGTTATTCTCGTAGCCCAGCAAAGGCCTAGCCTGCAGGATGCTTCCATCTGCTCTGTTGTCTCTTCCCTTGGAAGAGCTGGGAATTGACATGAAGCATCACAAATTCCCCAGGCAGCTAAGCTGCCTGTCAGGCCAAAAGCTGAGGCCACTGATGGATCTGTGTGAGGCAATGAGGCTGAGCTCGAGGCGTGTTTCTCCTCTGGAAGTGCATTAACAAAAGGGTTAAAAGACAGTTCAGCATCACTGTCTCAAATCTGGGGCCTGGCTGCTGAGATTGGGCCCTGACAGTCATAGAAACAAATAGAAGCCCTGTACCGTGAGTAATTGTGTATGGCTGATGTTAGGATTACTAAAAAATGAACTAACGCTGTTTAAAGTATGTGGGCAGAAGATAAAACATGTAGATTTGGGCTGTGAGATACACTGCGAGGAATATTCCGTTCCCTAGATCTCTTATCTACCTTTTTTTTGTGCTGGGGCTTCCCCGCAGATTTGCAGGTGAGGACTGAGATGTAGGGTTCTTCCCCTTTCTAAAGGTGAATTTTCCTTATTTTCCAGAATTGAAAGAGTTATCGACAACAATACTACAGTGAAAATGGTTCCCATCAAGATAGTTCATTCCGAGAGCAACGCAGAGAAGGAGAGTCGGCAAAGTCTTGTCAGTACTATGGAGCCTCCTGCTTTACCCAGTGGCTTGGAAAAGGACCAAATTAAAACACTCAGCACTTCTGAGCAGTCCTATTCACGATTCTGTGCTTACACCAGGCAAGGTGTAGAGCCAGAGCCAGAAGCCAGAACCAAACCAGCTGATCCTCAACCATCTGAAGAACCTGGCAGCAACTTGAAGGACAGCAATGCTGCCACACCAACAGTCAGCTATGTAAAGGCCAAAGAGAAGACCCTCGAAGACTGGAAGTCAGAGGAGCTAGCCAGAGAGATTGTGGGAAGAGATAAATCTCTAGCAGACATACTAGATCCTAATGTGAAAATAAAAACAACAATGGATCTGATGGTTGGTATATTCCCTAAAGATGAACACCTCCTAGAGGAAGCTCAGCAACGTAGGAAGCTCCTGCCAAAAGTTCCTTCTCCAAAAATTTCAGAGGAGAAGTGAGTATTACTTTCTGTAGGCCAGTGGTTCCGTGTAAGCTGCTGTCCAAACTGGGTCAGTTTTCCTAGGGGGCTGAAGGTGAGGATCTTCCTGCTGTTGAGGTTTGGGGCTTTTCTAAGGCTTTTCCATTAGAACACCTGTCAAGCATAATTCTGCTAGGGACACCATTAATGACAGAAAAAGAACAATGTTGTACATTACGAAATGTTTCCCGAGACCTAGTTGAAAACTATTTGTGTGAAAACTTAAGGAATAATTCACCTCTCCTATTTCATAGTGATTAGGTATTTTACCAAGATCATCTGGTCTGGTAACTGGATAGAGAAGGCACATAGCCTTTTTAATGTGATGAAAATTTACAAAGGTAAACTTGAAGCAGGCATGAGGCATTTCCTGGAAACGAATGAGAACAAAGTAAGAAAATATTTAAATTCCATCTATTTTAATGTTCTGTGGGTCTTCTGTTTACTCGATATGAGTTATCAAGTGAAATTGTAGCCTTCTTGACAAGCTCATGTGTAATTCTGTAGTAAAAAATATAAATGCTTACATTGCAGTGTCCCGTATTTGGCAGTGTGGGAGGATACTCTCTATGACACCAAGGTGTTGCACTACTTAGTAAAATGTAACTTTACGTTTTGTTTCCAGCTGAGGTATCTTAGGTCCATTTGAAACATTGTAATGGTGAAAGGTCTTCTGCATTACTTCAGGTTTAGCTTTCGGTGGGCATGTGCCGAGTTCATACAAGTTATCTTCATAGCCAGTATTTATTTATCCTATTTATACAGGTACTGGCTTGCTGTTGAATCCCCTTATTGCCTGGTGAAATGATAGCTCTAAAAGAATGTCCTTTCTTTTCAGTGGTTAGCATGTCAAGGAAGTTAATGAAAGTTTTGACTTTTTACCAGGAAAGAGGAGCAGAACACACCATCTGCCATCTCCCTGACAACCAATTCTACTTACTACAGCACATCTGCACCGAAGGCAGAGCTGCTGATTAAAATGAAGGACATGCAGGAGCAGCAGCAACAGCAGCAGAGCGAGGATGATTCTGAAGACGAGCTGGATCATGACCTGTCAGAAAAGAAGGTAAACACATTTCTGGAAGTGTAATAGGAGGTTCTCAGTTGTGGGCATTTCATTAACTGTGAACTTGCTAGATACAACCTCTTTAAATAAAAAGCCTTCTAGATGTACAGAATCACTTGGAAAATCAGGCTGGATTTGTTGTGGGGGGTGGTGTAGGTGGGAGAGTGGTGTGTGTTAAGTGTCCAACTGTGAATTTAGGAACTTCATATTAGGTGCTTTTTGCAGGTTGATGCACATTTTGGGAGGTCCCGAGGGGAGATGTTTTGAGATTCTAGTGTTTCTCTCACTTGCTATGTACAAAGAAGCAGTAGCACTCATGTATCCCAGTGTTACTGGTGGTGGTTGTAGCTGCTCCATATTTCTGAAATTTGGGTTCAGGATTTGGGTTTAACATGAGGAGGAACAGAGCCCTGCCCACCACCACCCCTGCCCAATTTTTTTTTTTTTTTTTTTTTTCCCCATGAGCAATAAACCACTTTGCCTTCTCCTGCCTCCTAAATTAATAACAGTAATGGTGGGAGGAAGCTTGTGAGCTTGGTGGATTCAGTGGGAGTTACTCATCACAAGGGGACAGCCTTCTTCACTTGTGTTCATCCCTATCTTTTAGTGTTTTGTTTCTGATCTAAGGTCAACATAATCCCCTTGGTATTCAGATGATGCTATAACGACATTCTGTGGTTTGAGCAAGTGTTGTCCTACGTTAAAATCATTGCAATCATCTCATTAGTGATTTGACATAAAATATTTTAATCATAGCTCCTGGTACAGATAAGCTGGAGGAAATGGTCTGTTCCATCAGTTGAAGAGATGCAGTTTAACTCTGTTTCCTTAAGCCAGTAACGCAGCAGTGTGCAAACCATTTCTGTTACAGTCAGCTCTCTGCTTAATCATCAGCTGCCAGGGCAGGGGGCATTGAGTAGTCCAGTCCCAAGCAAAGGTCTTGGAATTAAACATTAGGAATATGTATTTGGTATGAATGAGAGATCCCCTGGGAGATCCCAGCTCTGGTTCAGTGCGGGAGCGGGTGTGCTGCATTTGAGGGGCCCGTGGTGTTTCCTGTGAGCACCCTGGTTTTCATCCAGCTCGCCAAGCGTCCCTTGGCCCCCACGGGTCGGTGCGGCGAGCGCTGCTGCCGGGGGCGGGGGTCACCCTCTCGCCAGGCTCAACTGCTGAGGCAGATGAAGGATTTCACTCCATTTGGGATCATTTGGTTTCATCTGGTGCTGTTCACCATGCTTGCTAGAATTAGTTTTCTTCTCATGAATATGGAGTGTGTTTATGGAGATGCATTAAAATGAAACCTTTCTGATTTTCCCAACAAACTCAGTACTCGGAAGTTTATAAGCAAAAGTGCTATTTGTGTTGGTGTCTGTTAAAAGGAAAATCGTGGTTCACCCTTCTACATGCACCTCCCTCCACTTCCCAGCCCCAGTTAATACCACTGATCATATGAGATAGGAAGCATTTAATGAAGAGCTTCTAGCCGAGCTCCCCAGCTTCTTCTCTGAGTGTACATACTGTCGTAGCCACGCAGGCGTTGCTGCTTACTTCTCTCCCTGCTCCTCCACATGCAGTAGGGTGTGAGCACTCACTTCAGTGGGCTTTCATCTTGCATCTTGTCAGAAAACGTATAAAACTCCTGGTAAGTGGGTCAAGGCATCTTTATAAAACAACCAGAATGTAGAATAGTACACTTTATGACTTCAGTTATTTTAGAGGTGGTGTATGCCCAGAACCTGTTCCTTGGTCCCAAGAAATCAGTCAGTTCTGTTCTGAGACACCATAATCACAGTCCACTGGGTAATGATTGTACTGCTTGTCATCCTCTGATCTGCAAACCAGAAATATGGTGTGCTTTTTTTTTTCTTTTAAAATAAATACAGGAATTTCATATAGTGTTGTTATTTAATTTTTTTATTTGGGTTGATGCCACTATTTTCAGCTATCAGGAATAGAATGTATGTTTCTCATGTGCTGAGTTTTATGTAGTTTTAACACAATTACAAAATATTGAACAGATGTAGATGTTACAAGAGTGTTGCTTGCTTTGTTGATTTTTTTTTTTTTTTTTTTTTAGCAAAACCTGTGTGTGGCTGAGTAGAAATTGCCCCCTTTGCCTCTAGGAAAATTTCAGCAGCTCCTGAAGAGTGTAAAAATAATGGAAATATACCAAATTTCATCTGCTTTTAAGCCTGAATTTCATGTGAAATGGGGTGGTGAGCAGAGTAATTTCTGTAAATCATGCCAAGGAGTGAGCCCACCTGAGCAGCACTCTGTTGAGCTACGTTCTGTGTTGCTAGTCAGATCTCCACAAATTACTGGGAAAGGGTGAAATTTTCTTGTTGTCTTGTTTACTGGTACAGAATTCATAGCTATAAATTATTCATCTGCTGGTTTCAAGATGTAAATTGGAGCTTTTCTGGCTCAGTCGATAATGAACATAATGCAGGTTTTCTGCTGGTTAGCAAAAGCAAGTAGTGAGCTCACAGTTGCTGCATCCAAAGGCTACTGCATCTGAATAGGAAGCAGTCGGTGATCATCATTGAATTCCTAATAGATATCACAGTTTGAAAGGCTCTTGTGGCCTTCTCAGCTGTAAAACTGGTCCTTTACAGGCTAGCTCCAGCTACTTGGGGACATCTAAATAGGATGCTACTGGGGAGGTGGCTTTTTTTTCTTCTTTTTTAAGAAGGAAACTTTGAGCGAGCTGATCTGGATTGTTGGACCAGACTGGCAAATGCTGAGCACACGTATAGCTTTTTTGTTTTCCTGAGAGAAAGCTGCAGCACAGCTGCGGAAGTGAAAAACCTGAGCCAGTACCACAGACCTCCCCAGCGTCCCGTTGCGTTTCGGATGGTGAAACGGCAGCGTTGTGCACGTGCGTGTCACCCGAGGGGAATGAGAGCAGGGCACTGTGACCTACATAATCCAAATCAAACTGCATTCCCATTGAGAGAAGGGGGGAAAAAATCAAATCCTGCAGATTAATCAGTCAGTAAAGCAGGCATCTGTAGAACTGCTTACTACCTTAATCTTGTGGGCACCCAGACTAACAGATAACCCAAATCCAGATTAACCTGGTCTGAGTATATTAAATCAAAAAAGAGAAAACCCAGCCAGATAATCCCTGTGTTGAATTTCTCTACTTTGAAAAAGGCTGCTAAATTTTCAGGGTGTAGTTGCTCTCTGTTAAGACGGCAGCCTTGGGTTTCGAGGGTACTTTTGTTCCCAAAATAAATCGGCAATGACTGTTCAGTGGCATCCGAGAGCATAGCTGCTATCAGTGTGTTTCTCTGTAATCGTGAAGGCTTGTAATCAAATTTGCATTAAGGAAGCACAGTTCCTAAGGAATGTCGTGAGTAATGTTTTTTAAAAAATAATAAATTTGAAGCGGTACTGTGCAATAATGTCTGTTTTAAAGGATGTCATTTTCATTTAGAAATTGCACGGAGATGCATGTTCAGAGAACACTTTGGAAATTTTTCCTACCTGAAATTAGGTGCATACCAGATAGACATCTACATTGAAATGAATGAGGCACTTTTAGGGTGTGATTCATGTCCTGTTAGAGTGGATGACTAGCTGAACTGACTTCCACCCTTTGTGCACAAGCACAAGTCAAAGGACTTGCAAGAAGCAGGACCTCTTGCCCAAACTCAGGGAGGAGGTTGGGCAGCACGCACAGGGCACTGAGGAAGGAGCCCTAAGGTTCTCAGCCTGGCTCTGCTGCTGATGCACCACCCAACATGCTTTTTCTATGTCAGGGCAGGTGCATCCCAGACCATGGGCATTTGTACAAAAAAAACCCCGACAAGCTGTGGGTGAGGTGAGGTGTTCACCTGGCCTGGAACAGTGACAGACAGAGGTGCTTGCTCACTCCTTCGGCAGAGCTGCTTTGCGTGGGGCTGCGTCGTGTGATACAGAAGCAGATTTTGTTCCCTCTTCTGTGCCACGGGGATTATGATTTCCCCATGGAAGTGTTGTAAGGCACTGTTCACGCTAAGATTTTCTGAGAATGGAAGGGCTGCTATTGGAGGGATTGCTAATATTATGCAAAAAGGGAGAAAAAGCTAGAGCGTGCCCTAGTTTTAACTGCATCATTTGGCAAATACAGGATTGTTTTCCTGGTACTGTTTATATTCCTAAGTGTAGCTCTTCAGAAGGGTATTATGGGCCTGGTATTTAGGGAGACAGGGTTGTGCTGTACTTTATGCTGTTCCACAGCAGGCTTTGAAGCTGTTCAAAGAAGCAGCAGGAGTGCTTGCTACAGGGGTGGAAGTCCTTCATCTTTTGCCACAGAGGTAAATGGCTTTAACACAGGTCTCAAGCTGAGCATCATAGACCTACATCCTGAGTCTTTGGATCCACAGGTATAGACCTTAGACATATACTTAGACATGTATTTATTTGTAGTGCACTCATTGTCAAAGCCACATGGGAGTTTCAGTGTATTAAAATGCTAGATTTTTGATGTGACTTTGAGAAGTGGAGAAGAATGCAGTAGTGCTAACAAATTCTCATCCCCTTTGTTTTCCACAGCAAGAACTCATTGACAGCATAAGTAGGAAGCTGCAAGTGCTGAGGGAAGCACGGGAGACACTTCTGGAAGACATCCAAGCAAACAACATACTGGGGGAGGAAGTGGAGGCCATTGTGAAAGACGTCTGCAAACCAAATGAGTTTGACAAATTCAAGATGTTTATCGGTGACCTTGACAAAGTGGTCAACCTCCTCCTGTCACTGTCAGGTCGTCTGGCCCGGGTGGAAAACGCCCTTAATAACCTGGATGAAAATACCTCTCCGGAAGAGC